TTTGGAAGTTTTTAAATTCCAGTATCAGTCACGAATCTAGTAAATATGTAACAGCCATGGTGCAAAACTTCAAATGTGTCAGCTGTTCTGCATGGCTTGAACCTTTTCCTCAGTGGAAAGGAGTTTGCGATTCTTCTATAAAATGAAGCGCTGGAAAATAATTTGGTAATGCACGTAGACTCTCTACAACGATTTTCTCTGTACAGTACAATATAACTCATTATTTTTGTCGCATAGGGTTCTAACCCCATGTTATAAGGGTAATCTGCAGAAGAATTCTCTCTACAACTAATTTTTTTTCTTGTCCGGTGAATTTTGTGGAGGGAGTCCACCTTAACTGATGTGAAGGGTATTTGCTTAGTGCAGCTGTTAAAAATATAGCTGAATATTCGTGTGCGAGTCATGGAGAAATCTTGATGAGGAACAATGTCGAACGGAGTTGGAAGAAAGATCTAGAGGAATTCTTGGAACTTTGTACGGAAACTCACGCTAGATGGAATTCCGTGAACGCTTTCTGGTCAATTTTTTTTTTCAAATGAACGTCGAATTTGTTGTAATCAACAGAAGTGATAGATTTTATATCCCGCCAATTGGAAGATTCGTTTTATGTGTTCGTGATTTGCCGAGCTTTTTTAAATGATCGTGAGCTGAAAATCATGTTTTTCATTTGGTAGGGATCTCTTCGGGTTCACTTGAAACTGAGTGCCAAGTGAGATGAAAATACCGATGTGGAATTTTTAAATGGGCCTCAAGAGTTTTTGTCGATTTTAATGGGTAGAATTCGGAAGTTTTACAGTAACCAACTCATTTTGACACGTTTTTGCAGACGTATTTCGACGACCACTGCATCAACGTGACCAACAGCAGCAAGTATGGAATGGAAGACTTCGAGCTGAGTCTGAACTACTCGTTTTTGTTGCCCAAGAATGAAGAACTCCCGAGTCCCGAGACATCTTGCTTGTGGTGGATAACTCAAAATCCAACACATCTGGACCTTTTGAGGCACCCAGTCCTCAGGCTCTTTTTGCACTTCAAGTGGCAGAAGATATCCAAAGTCTTTGCTCTGCACTGCAGTTTGTATGCCGTTTACCTGGCTTTTCTATTCGTATATTTAGTATGGGGAGCGTTTCCTGTCATTTTGAAAGCTGAGCATTCGCCTGAGGAACCTGTGGATTGTTTCAAGGTTGATAATTTTTGAGAAATTCATTGATTTTGCACAAATCTGACTGACTTTGGTCTTTGTAGGTGAGCTTGACGTACAATGGTTCGACTCATGATTTGCAGAATGCCGCTTGCGAAATCGCCAAGACGGAAGAGAATGTCCATAAAGTGGAAAACTACTTGGAACTTCTTTCGCCAACCTGGAACGTTGTCAGAGTTATCTTGATAGTTCTGAATACGCTTGTTTTGCTTTTGGAATTCATGCAGTTCTTGGTCAGTCCTTTCAGATA